ATCTAAGAAAAAAACACAACCAGAAACAGACTCATAGATACAGAGAACAAACTGGTGGTTGCCAGAAGGGAGGCAGTGGGAGAATGGGCAAAAAAACCAAAGGGGATTCAGAGGTACAAACTTCTAGCTATAAATCACAGGGATGAAAAGTACAGCATAAGGAACATAGTCAATAATATGTAATAATTGTACGGTGACAGGTGGTAAGTAACTACACTTATCATGGCAAGCATTTCCATAGTGTATATAATTGTTGAATCACTAGATTGGACACCTAAAACTCATATAATATTGTACATCAACTGTACTTCAATTAAAAATAAAAATTTTAAAAACAAAGTCAATTAAGCTACAAGCCCCATCCCAACAGTTGAGCAGCCCAACGTGACTTCTGACTTGAGTAATTACAGGACTGAACTGACCTATCATTTTAGATGAACTGTTCACATTAAGTTGCTTGGGACCGGGAAGGCCTGAGCCAACCCAGGGGAAGGGACCTTTCTCAGGTGCACTCATCTATCAATGCCTTTTTCGAGGAGTGTCACTTCCTGGGTACATCTTCATCACCATCTTCATATTTGTTATTTGGAATTTGGAAATATCCTCAGATGTCTCTCCAACTTCCTTAGTCAAATGGGAAAAAAAGGCTAAAAAAAAACCCCAAAAAACCCTTAGGAATGAAACCCACATTTTCCTCTGAATACAAGAATCATGCTGCTCATTTATATCTCTGAGTGGTTTTGTTTTATTTATGTCACTGTTTGAAGAACTTGCTGGGTCCCATTATTGTTCTGAAGTGGTCGGATTTCCTCCTCCTTATTCAGGCACGGCTATTGATTTTTTTTGACAATGCTTAATATGAAAAGTCATAAATCTCCATGCAGTAGAGCCATAGAACTATACGTATCCGGGCAAGTGGGCATGTGCTGGGTGTGAGGAGGAAATCCTGTGTCACCATTGTTCTGCCACCAGACCGATGCTGTCGGAGAGAAGACATGTCACAGGCTTGAACCTGCACGTGAAAGAAGTATTCAAACAAGCTTTAAAAAATATTACGTGGTTTTACAAATATTTTAGTCACAAATCAGATGTCAGCTCTAAGTGCAGTGTTTATAGAGTACTGCTGCTCTGTGTGATGCAGCCCCATAAAAAGATAGAAGTGCTTGCATATTTGCACCAGAAGGCACTTTTTTCTGAGGAGCCCATTATTTGGGGGATCCTTTTATAGCAGCAGCAAGTCCAGTTAGAAACTGCCAGTACTTCTTACTGCTTCTGCTTTCTCACGATCTCCACTGGTGTCCTCTCAGACCAAGCCACCACCTGGTTTTTTTTCCAGGTTCTAGCAACACCCCACTGCCGGAGCACCGCCCCCCCCCCCGCCTTCATCCATTCTCCATGAGACTGCTAGTTATTCAGTTCATATCTTCTCCTGCATAAAACTCTGAAATGCTTTCCCATTTTTTTCATCAGGTAGGGTTTGATCAGGGAAAGAAAACAACTAGAGGTGAAATGGAACAAGGATTTAGTATAGAGATTCGAACTTATGCAGTTCTTGGGGAAGTGAGCTGAAAATCAATTCACCCAACATCAACTTGCCAATTTGCCCCTGCATCTAAAATTGCAGAGCAGGTACCTTCAGCCAGGTCCAGGACCAGGTGTGACAGAGGCAGGGGCAGGAAAAGGGCATGAGTCTATGAAATCCAGGAGGACACTCATTTGTATATAAAATTTTCAGGAAGTCCTATCCTCTGAAATGTGAAATGTAACCGAAATGAATATTCAACTCAGGGAGACAGAAAAATCTTAAGATAACGGCCTGAGTGAAATAACTGTGGCAAAATCTCGGGGAAACAAAAAGGAAATTGCCCCCCAAACTCCCCACCCACCACCAAATCTCTAACAGTTTGGCAAATTTGCTCGGTATTTTATAAAAGTTAATTTGTGCATGTATTTTCAAAAATGACACATCCTACATATTGTCTCTGGTTTCCAGCTCAACCCTATAGTACTCGTTCTCTTCTCTTGTCTTTTTTTTTTTTTTTTCCTTTGAAGTGTGCTTCTATACGCATTGGGGTTAGAAGTATTGTTTCCTTTGACCAGGCTTGTACCGGTAATTGCAGACTAGCCTCGGTGTCTCTGACTGCTCAGATTTCACATTTGAAGTACAACAAAGCTTTTGGCAACTGCGTTTATAGCTCCGCTCTTTTCCCACTACCTTCTGTTGCAGGTGTGTGCAATGCTGAAGCTTCCCATGGATGCTCTGGAAAATGCCGGAAGCCTGCTTTTTTTGGTGCGGGTCACTCCTGTCTGTACACCGGCAGCTCTCATTGTCCATTACCCTCCTCCGTACCCTGTGAACTCTTCCCTCTATGGTGGAAGGCCAGTGGTAGCCCCTTGCCTATTCGGCTTTCAGGCTGAATGTGGGTGAAAGAGCCATACAGGAACTGCACGTAACCGTGCAGGAACCATGAGCATTATATACATATTTTTTTCACGCTAAAAGACACATTCCAGCTTAGAGTAATGTCGGCTACAGTTTGTTCTTTCATCCTTTTTTATCCTTTAAGTGTGAGTTACATTGTTTGTGATCATAGGAAGCAGCAACTCGCTCTGCCTGAGGAATTTCCCAGGAGAGATGACATTTAAGTGGTTTTTTTTTTTTTTTTCACAGATTCACAGGTTGTGAGCTTGCAACTTACTAACATTGCTCTTTCAAATCTGTATCAATTAACCGTGCAGTTTGGTACTTTTCTAGTAAAAGTGCTACTGCTGTTGGTTTTTTTTTTTTTTTCCTTTTTAAAAAATTGAAGCCTAGTTGACATGCAATGATAGTGATAGTGTTTCATCAGTTTATCCAAGTTTCTGGGCCCCATCAGCCAAAAGGAAGGAAAGAACAAATTAACCCCTATGGAAGACTGAATCGATCATTAATGAACTGTGATTTTTGTCACCAGAAAAAACTAGCTACCTATTCCTTGCTCTCAGTAACAGGGAATAAGGCATTGAACAGTGAGGTCCTAGACATCATCAAGGAAAATCATTCTCCTGTGCGGTGACCGGCAGGCACACGGCGACTCTCTAAACAGACACCAGCTTCTGTCACCATGTGAATTATTTAGATGATGGAAGCTTGGCTTGCAGAAGAGCACTACCAACGAAAAACTATGGCCGTGCTAGCCACACGTCCTACAGTTGTCTATCAAACAGTCGAAATCAATTATTTACACATTATGGGCCAATACATGTCAAACTCCTCAGTTCCAGATAATTGCAGTGGATTGATGTTAAACTGCCTTGGGCTCGGTGCTCCTTTCTCCCCAACCCTGGTCTCTTTTCCCCTTGTCTCTTGAATGTACCACTGCGAATCATCCTCTACCTGCTGCTCCCCCAAATGATCTCCTCTCTAACCAAACACTCCCTCTGGAAAAAAAAAAAATAATAACCTAGGGAATACATAGTAGTTCCAATGTAGCCGAACAGAACAGAACTATCATTTGTTAACCAAGTGCTGTGTGCCAGACCTGCGGTAGCTTTGATACTTGGAAGCTCATTTCACTGAATGTGTAGGACAGCATAGGAAATGTGCTTTTGTTATTCTAATTTACAGATAAGAAAACTGATGCTCAGAAGGTCAGGGATTTCAGAATGTCTTTAAGGAACAGCTTGAGAGCTTCAGAGGCATGTTCTTTTACCTGGTTCCCAGTCAATGTGTCAGCATCCTCCGAATGTATGCGGCTAGCACTCGGTGTAGACCACTGTTTCTGGCAGGGGTTTCACTCTTGGCCACGAAGGTGTTTGTCTTCACACTTTCAGTCATGCCTTCTTTCCAAGAGAATCCCTTCATTTAGGAAACATATGGACGCATGAAAGCTCTGGAGCTGGGGTTCTTGTTGTCAGTGATGGAAACTTGGTGAATACTTAGTATGTGTTACAAATGAAAATAAATAGGATAAATAGAGAGGTTTTTACTCTTTGGAGACAGCAAATTTCAGTTTCAATTAAGTTATAGTCGCTTTCATTATAACAAAGGATTTTTGGTTTTTGTTTTTTTTTAAGATTTATTTATTTGAGAGCACGCATGTGTGTGCACTCATGGGGGGGAGGGGCAGAGGGAGAGAGAGAATCTTCAAGCAGACTCTCCGCTGAGCATGGACCCCTCCACCCCCGACCCGGGGATCAATCCCAGGATCCCAAGATCATGACTTGAGCCAAAACCAAGAGTCGGACGCTTAATCAACTGTGCCACCCAGGCGCCCTGGAGTTTTGCTTTTAATGATTTTCGAAGTATTTCTGACTATGTGCCCTAGACAAAAGAAAAAATCTAGAGCAAGAGAGGTTTTTATTCTTGTTTTTTATTATTAAATCTAGGCGTGCCCCCCCCAAGTTGTTTTTTGGGGGAATAATCTGTGAAATGATCAAGGTCAAAGATTTTTGTCCTACGTATATATTATATCTACAATTTCTGGCACATGATGGACCTTTCAACAGAAGTTTGTTCACTTGGATAGTGAATGAGTAATGGAATGATCAGTAGCCTCAGTATATTTAATTTATTTGAAAAATGACAAATGAAAAAGTTCTGATACAAGACTGGTTTTGACATGTTATTATGAGGAGTTTTTTTTTTAATGAAGATTACTGTTGAATTAACCAAGGAAGTATAGCCATGACTAATGAGATAAAATTAAGCAAAAGGAAACTGTAAACTGAATACCAAAAAATATTTTCAGTAGATGAGGTTGGGATTAAGTCAGGCAAAGGAGTCCCAGTAGAAGTGGCCGGGGGACATCTAACACCATGCATGTCACTTAAGGCTGCAGTGAACTTCCACAATTTACTAGAGACTGACTGGCTTTGGCAGGATGATAAGTGGGATCATATCTCTAGTTTCACTGATTCTCTCTTACACAGGTATACATTTGCAGCCTCCCATCCCCGATGGATAGAATTTATGGGTGTGTTAAATTTTCTGATTATAGTTTTCTTTTTTTTTTTTCCAGAAAACACTCTTTTCAGAGCATCTCCTGGCATCACCAGAAATGTCTTCCTTAAGTGGAAAAGTCCAAACGGTTTTGGGCCCCATGGAGCCCAGCAAACTGGGCCGTACTCTGACCCACGAACATCTGACAATGACCTTTGACCACTGTTACTACCCACCTCCTCCGTGTCATGAAGCTGCCTCTCAGGAACCTATTATGAAGAAAAACTTATTCTGGATTCAAAAAAACCCTTATTCCCATAAAGAGAATCTTCGGCTGAATCAGGAGACCGAAGCTGTAAGGGAAGAATTGCTGTATTTTAAAGCCAACGGTGGAGGGGCTCTGGTGGAGAACACAACCGTTGGGATTAGCCGAGACGTGAAGACTCTGAGGTGGCTTGCGGAGCAGACGGGCGTCCATATCATATCTGGAGCTGGGTTTTACGTGGAGGCAACTCACTCTCCGGAGACCAGAGCCATGTCAGTGGAGCAGGTGAGGAGCCCTGAGGACTTGGACAATATTTGCGTGTCAATTCAGAAAGGCCAGAACCTCAGACATTGGATTTTCCCTCTGTGCCATCTCCATTGGGGAATGTCACTGACTCAGAGGTAGCTGGGCATTGCGACAGAAATGTGCTAGCTAGCAATGACATCTGCCCGTGGGGACCCAAACTAGGAACATTTTGTCTCATAAAGAAAAGAGCGTCAAGGGAGGAGAGCTTAACCCACTAGTCACTGAAAAATCCCAAGTGTTAACACTTAGATTTGGATATGTGGTACTTCTGCTCCATAGTGGTGCTTCAGCCTATTTGTAAACCTCATTTTCCCATTATAAACTGCAGTTATGTAACCTCGATTTTCTTTCTGGATTTTATAATAACCAGCAATAAAAATTCACTGTAGGGTGAGACTTGGCAGGCAGAGACTTGGCACACGGGCGAATAGGTTTCCTTCTTTTACAAAACAGGAAGGGTGGAAGAAAATCCATTCCTGTTTTTGTTATCATATGATCTTAAGCAAGAATGGGCAGAAGGAAGGAAATCTTTCAGAGAGAAACAGAAAGAATTAGCCACAAAGCTTCTTGGCATATATATGTGCTCTCCTTCTGAACGTGTCTGTGTGTGTTTATACATGTTTATACCTACTGGCTATATTTATACGTGTCATCCATTGCCTGCTTGAAAGGCATAGCGCGTCAGCTGCAGTCTTTGCAACGATTCAGTTAATCATTAAAATCTTTGTATTGCAAAACTTTATCTGCATCATTTTCCAATCAGATCTTTACCTTTTTATATGCTTATATTATTTGAAGACTATCCTGAAGTCAGCCATTACACATTCTTCCAACCACTCTTAGTAGTAATATACATATGAATCAAAAAATGTCATATTAGTATTGTGTGCTGTGAATATTCTATGCTGTATGGGGTTAAGCACTGCATAAATAAGGGAGAATTAAAGGATTAGTTGATACGGTTGATGTATGTTCAAGGGCAGTCTTTTTATGTTCTAGATGTTTCTCAGGTTAAATTATAGATTTTTTTTTCTCATCTGAATGTACTTTCATGAAGTCACATTTTTTCCCCCTATAGCTTCCTCAAGTCACAAATTTCTCGTTAAATAATCACAGTAAGATATTATTGAATCTTTGATTTAGAATAACTTGTTGAATTTGAGATTTGGCCTTTCTCATTGACCCATATTAATTGAATGGATGGCGAATACATTCTTAAAAGAACGAATGGCCGAAGGAATACATCCATTCACATACTGTGGCGACTCTGGGTTGATAAATTCCAGCCTATAAAATGTTTTCTTTCCTGCTCTTCCTTAGCTTACTGATGTCCTCATTCATGAAATTCTCCATGGGGCCGATGGAACGACTATCAGGTGTGGCGTCATTGGAGAAATTGGTTGCTCCTGGCCTCTGGCTGAGAATGAGAGGAAAGTTCTTCAAGCAACTGCTCATGCTCAGGCTCAGCTGGGCTGTCCTGTTATTATTCATCCTGGGAGGAATCCAAGTGCACCATTTCAGATCATCCGAGTGTTGCAAGAAGCAGGTGTAGACATCTCCAAAACAGTTATGTCCCACATCGATAGGTAAGCAGACTCTCTCCAAATTAGTTCAAGTCACCAGATGATTATGGATGATCAAATAAATAACATCAGATAATTGAAATGCTAATCACCTAGAGTAAACCACTAACTACCTGGATGACAGTATTTTACAAGAGACATTCGTAAAAGTCAGTGCTGCCTTTTCTGTGTCCTGACTCTGGGTCTGTTCGTGTTCTAGGTGTTTTGTGTAAGTCATTTCTTTTAATTTACTTAATCCTTCATAACCCTTCATAGTAACTGTCCCTGTGTACTTCACTTCTTTGCCTCAGGGTCTGATACCACAGTAGCTGCCAAGTCTAGATGCTCAGTATTTGTCAGTAGCTAAGAGTGAAAAATTTATCTGCAAATATAAAGGGAAGGGAATGTGAATGGTTTCACCCTGAGAAGAAAACCACAAACGTAAATATGCAAATTTGCTGTTGTGACTGGTGGTTTGAGTCATCTGAATTTGGGAAAATGCAATTATAAAACATAATACTGGGGCATAAGCCTGGGTGGCTCACTCAGTTGATCATCCGACTATTGATTTTGGCTCAGGTCATGATCTCAGGGTCGTGAGATCGATCCCTACGTGGGGCTCCGGGCTCCACGCTGAGCCTGGAGTCTGCTTGAGATTCTCTCTCCCTCTCCTTCTGCTCCTCCCTTCTACTCTCTCTCTCTCTCAAATAAATAAATCTTTAAAAAAACATAATAGTAACGGGTATATTATTTGTTTGGTAGTATTCTTAGTTTCCAGTGGCTACTATAACAAATTATAAGAAACTAGGTGGCTTTCTCACAGCTCTGGAGGCCTGAGCTGCACTTCCTCCAAAGGCTCTGGGAGAAAATCCTACCTTGCCTCTTTCATTGTCTGGTTTCCTTGGCTTGTGGCTACATAACATCAGCTTCTGCCCTTTTCTTTACACGGCCCCCTCCTGTCTGTCTGTGTCTTCTCCTCTTTTGTTTCTCAGAAAGGCACATCATTAGATTGAGTGTCCACTCAGACAACCCAGAATGATCTCCTCTTGAGATCCTTAACGTCCATCACAACTGCAGACTCTTTTCCCAAACAGGGTCACTTTCAGAGGTTCAGAGGGTTAACACATGGACATATCTTTGTGGAGCTCACTGCTCAACCCCAACACATTATATTAGATGTGTAGGGGCCCGCAAAATAAGTGACTGTTTGAACAGATGTTGGCTGCAGTTCGTTTTATGAAGAAGCCTAACAGTATTGCAAAGGCTAGACATTGGCCTTCAGATGAAGTTGATTAAGGAATTAACACAGGAAAAAATGAGACTAATAATACATTATGATTACTTCTATCTTGCATATTGGAGTAAAGCCATATTAACAGACCAATAGCTCCTCATCGTCACACCTGGCATTCTGCTATTTAATAAACTAACAGTCCTACAGAATGTATTGATAAAATGCTTCTACTTAATAGAAATATTATAAAATCCTGGGCTGAAAAGAAATTAAAAGTTATAATTGTGGCAGAATGGAGAAGGCGATATTAATGGAGAGACTGAGAACATCAAGGTAAAGGCAGTTTTCCTGGCAACTGGGTTGGTATCAGGATCAATACATGGCTATTTTCAAGATCTTCTGGTTGTACTGATAAAGTAGAGGGATGCTTCTAGATCCCCAGTAGTGTGTCCTAGTATGAAGAATAGAATCTTTGGACCTGTCATAGGACTCCTGATTTTACATCCTGACCCTACCATTTCCTGTGAGATCTAGGGTAAGTTCATATGAATTTAAAATAACATTTGATAATGTTACCTTGTATGATTTAGAACGTATATAGCATCTTTAATCCAGAAGGATGATTCTTTAACTTTTTTTTTTTTTTTTAAGATTTTATTTATTTATTTGAGACAGAGAGAATGAGAGACAGAGAGCATGAGAGGGAGGAGGGTCAGAGGGAGAAGCAGACTCCCCGCCGAGCAGGGAGCCCGATGCGGGACTCGATCCCAGGACTCCAGGATCATGACCTGAGCCGAAGGCAGTCGCTTAACCAACTGAGCCACCCAGGCGCCCCTGATTCTTTAACTTTTTAAGCAGTCTGAAGTATGTCATGCAAATGAGTAAGATAATATATATTTTTAAATTTTATAAATATTTCTTGGGTTTTTGGAAACATTGTATTCTGCTGTTACTATGCTCTCTATAGGTCAATTAGACTACAGTTAGTAACCAGGTTCAAGTATTCTATATTTTTGCTGACTTTGTGACTGCTCAATCTATTGGTTACAAAAAAAAAAGATGTTAAAAATCTATTATAGTGGATTTTTAAATTTCTTATTGTACATATTTCAAGTTTTTTCTTTATATATTTTGAAGCTATGCCATCACATGGATACAAATTGTTTCTCTTCCCTGGAGAACTGAAACTTATTTCAACATATATTGAACTACTTTATCTCTAGTAATTTGAGTAATTCTTTTTGTTTTAAAGGCTGTTTTATCTGATATTAATGTGACTATCCTGATCTTTCTGTGTTGGTTTTATAATTTAGAGATGTCTTACACACACCCAGCATGTGGCTGGGTTTTGGGTTTTATCCAGTCTCTTTTTCTAGATGAAAACTTCAATTTTTTTACATTGACTATGTTTACTAAAATATTTGTTCCCACTTTTTTTCTTAAGATTTTATTTATTTAATATTTATTTGAGAGAGAGAGAGAGCATATGTGTGTGGATGGGGGGAGGGATAGAGGCAGAGAATCTCAAGTCAACTCCTCACTGAGCATGGAACCCAAAGCAGGGCTCGATCTCAGGAGCCCAAGATCATGACCTGAGTCAAAACCAAGAGTCAGATGCTTAAAAAACTGAGCTATCCAGGCACCACCCCCACTTTTTTTCTTTTTGTCATAGTTAATGTCATCCTTTCTTGATTTCTTTTATTGATTTTTTTCACCTTCTTATTTTATCTTTCCCCTTTAAAATCTTTTTTTTTTTTTTAAGATTTTATTTATTTATTTGAGAGAGAGCATGAGATAGAGCATGAGAGGGGGGAAGGTCAAAGGGAGAAGCAGACTCCCCGCTGAACGGGGAGCCCAATGCGGGACTCGATCCCAGGACTCCAGGATCATGACCTGAGCCGAAGGCAGTTGCTTAACCAACTGAGCCACCTAGGCGCCCTATCTTTCCCCTTTAATACTTTGGAAGGTATCTATACTATTTCTATCCTATCAGTGGTTATAATAGAAAATGTAACATGTACCTTTAACATATCACATTTTAAATATAATAAATATTTTACCAACCTTCCTGGTAATACAAAGACCTTAGAATCCTTCGACTTCAATCATTTACCATCTGACTTACATACTATTGATTTTCCAGGATGGGTGTCTATTTTCCTTTTTTTAATCCCAGTGATTATACATTATCTTACTATTATAAAACATATAGATGGTCAATGTATATTTAGATTAGCCTTTCTGTTTGCTATTTTCTTTGCTTACCATTCCCTCTTCATCTCAGGTCTTTATCCTTGAATTTCCTAAGGTACATCATTTGAAGTTCCTTCAGTGTGTGTCTGTTTTGGTAATACATACTTAGTATATATGTATCTGAAAATGACTTCATTCCTTCATTCATAAGAGATAATTAAATACAATACGTGATTTACAATAATTACTTAGACAATTCTACCTAAAAGTTATTTTCTCTAAGTGCTTTAAAGATATTCCATTTTCAACTGACATTCGTTATTGCTGTTCATAAGTCGGCTGAACCTAATTATGCTTCCTTGGAAGTAACTTGCCTTTTCTTTCTGTTTTTAACATCTTTGTCTCTGGGAGTCTATATCTGCACTATGATCTATCTCAGTGTGAATTTCTTTTTATCATGTATGCTTGGGATTCCTGGATATGAAGATGTATTTTTTTCTTAATTTTCTTTTCTTTTTTTAAATTTTTATTGTTATGTTAATCGCCATACATTGCATCATTAGTTTTTGATGTAGTGTTCCATGATTCATTGTTTGTGCATAACACCCAGTGCTCCATGCAGAATGTGTGAAGATGTATTTTTTCATTTGTTTCTTGAAAACTTCAGCCATTGTCTCTTCAAATAGTGCTTCATCCATATCTTCTTATTTTCATCATAAACTCCAGTTTGAGATATGTAAGATCTGATGACCTGTCCTACAGATTTCTTAACATCTCATTCATTTTTCCATCCATTTGCATATTGGACCTATTTTCTTAAAGTTCTTTCTTCCTATTTACTACTTCTCTCTCCAGCAAAATCAATCTGCTGCCCTAATCTATCAGTTTGGTTTATAATATTAAGAAACAGAAAACTTAAACCCATAGTCCTTTTAAAAAAATTTCTATAAATTCTATTTGTTTACTTTTTTTAAAAGATTTATTTATTTATTTTGGCGGGGTAAGAGTGAGTAGGCATGGGGGAGGGGCAGAGGCAGAGAATCTCAAGCAGACTCTCTGCTGAGCGTGGAGCCATCACGGGGCTCCATCTCCTCACCCAAGACATCATGATCTGAGCCTAAATCATGAGTCGGTTTTTAACTGACTGAGCCACTCAGGCACCCCTCTATTTGTTTACTTTTTTTTTTAAGGTTTTAACATTCTTTATTTTAGACATTTAGATTTAAGGTGTTGAAACCTACTTGGTTTTGTGGGAAGGAGACCCAGACTGGCAATGTGTTATGGAAAATCTAGCTGTAACTGACAAGAGGCTCTCTAGTAAACCAATGGGCATATAATTTGGATGAGGGTATAATTTTTTAGAGAGAGATAATGCAAGCGAGAGCTAGCATGGGGGAAGGGGTAGGTGGGAAGGGGTAGAAGAGAGGGAGAGAGAGATTCTTTAAGCAGACTCCAAACTCAGAGCATGGAGCCCAACACAGAGCTCAATCCTACAACCCTGAGATCATGACCTGAGCTGAAATCAAGAATCGGACACTTAACTGACTGAGCCACTCAGGTGCCCCTATTTGTTTACTTTTTAATTCTGCTTGGTTAA